TTCGCTACGTCCCTGATAATATCTAATTCCAATGTTTTTAACTCATTCTGAGACACCGTGTAATCTTTTTTTGTACCCAATTTATATGCCTTTTTCTTAGTTTCTGTACCGATTTGCATCAGATGCCTGATTTCTTCTTCCTGCTTTTCTTCTTTAGCTTTATACCCAGGTTTTTCCCTATAAATGTGAATTTGGACCCCTGCATCTTCAAATAGAAAATATATCATCTGTTTAAATCTAGCCCATTCTTTTTCTAATGCCCATCCTTGTCTTGGGATAACTAATTTTTTGATGGATTTATTTTTTGAGATATTGTTCCTCAGTGCTGTAAGACATTTATACATGTTTCTTGGACTTGGCTTCTCCTTCATTGATTCTCTTGTGAATAGAAAAATGACTGATTTTTTTCCTTGTTTTGACATAGATAGCTCCCCAATGGTCCCTTTCTCTCTGTTTTTTGGAATCATATGCCTATATTTTCTGAAAACTGATTTTTTTGATTTGTAGTTTTGAGTTACTCCTACTACTAAAACGGTGTCGTTCGTTAGGATGTCTATGTTTCCATATTCTTTTTTCAGGAGACCGTTAACCTGGTCATCTTTTATGTGAATGTGTTCTCTTACAAACTTGTTAAACTCTTGTTCATCTCTTGGAGTATCTAGTCTAAGCTCTCTCGTTTTAGTCGGCTGTGTTTTTGTGACCAGACGTGACATGTTGATTTTTTCGTTATTCATTTGTCTTAGGGGTATTTCATGCTGGCCATTCAGAATCAGTTTTTTTTTTCGTGGGAGATCTATGATCGCGTTATTTTTTGTCAAAAACTCCATGTCTAGGATTATTGGTTGAGTTAATGATGAAATCACTTTGGCGTTTAGTCTGCCCTTCCATTTTTGACTCCCTGGTATTCCTATCGGAACTTCAATGTCTCCCAAAACTTTTATCTGGTGTCCCCCTGCAGTGCAGTAGTTCCTCTTTAATTAGATTTCTTTGTAGAACGCTATCTTGTGCTCCTGCATCCACAATTGCTGACATGTACTTATTATTTAATCTAATTATGATGTACAAGATTCCTATGTTATTGTTCTTCCCCAGGGTAAGGATGGCAGGGGCTTTTAATTTTGCCATCCCTTCTCGTTTGGTTTTGTCGTCGGGTTGTACAGGTGTTTGCATAGTGACGCTGTTTTCCACAAACAAAGCAACCGATTGTTTTTGTTGTTTCGTGGCGTATACGATTTGTTCCTTTGAGACTGGCTTCTGCATACTGTTGCAGTATGTCCTGTTTTCCCACAGTTGTAACAAACGGTGGCAATTTTTGAGTTGGAGTTATGATTTCTCATCTTTTGGCTCCTACATACAGCTGCGAAATGTCCTGTTTTCCCTTAATTATAACACGTTTGGCTAGATATTGGTACTCTTGTGCTTGTGTGTTCTCCTTGCATTCGGATCCTGCAGGTGGCCATTACATGTCCTCTTTTTCCACAATAATGACATATCTTTAGTTCTGTGTCTGTGATTGTATTTCTTTCCGTACAGCTGGTAATTTGGGTATCTTGCGTTGCACCTTTCTTCGGAGCTTTGTCTATCGTGTCTGCTATTTCTTTTAATTGTATAAGTGATGTTGGTGGCTTGTTCGGCGGGTTGTTAACCAGTAGTAATTGTAATGATTTGCCTCCGTCAACCCTTGGCTAGAAATCCTTACAAATTCTGGTATATCAAATGTATGTGTGTAATTGTGGTATAATACTTGTAAATCGTACAAGTATTCCTTGACTGACTCATCTTGACCTTGTTTTCTGTTTTCGGCTTTTTTCTTGAGTGCCCTTTGGTAATCTGTATCCTCAAATTCCTCTGAAAAATCTTTGACAATGTCTTTCCAGCTGTTGTTTTGGTGGTCGCGCTTATATTCCTGAAATCACAGGTTTGCGGCTTCGTCTAAATATGTTTCAAAATAAACAATTTTCAGCTTTTCGTCCCATCCATTTGCTATCGTTAATCTGTCATATGTTCTTAGGAACCCGATCGCACTGGTTTTACACGGCTGGGAGGTTTGAGGGCTGATAAAGTGAGGCAACTTTGCCTGTTTCTCCGCTGTCATAGCGTCAGTTATTGTGGTGTTCGCCATTATATCAGGTTGTTCTACTTCTTCTTTTGATAATTGCCTGGGTTTTGGTGCTTCTTGAAGGGTAAGGTCTGGTGGGCTACCAAAAACACTGTCTTCTTCGTAGCCTGTTTGATTATTTGCTTGGTTTTCTATCTCACTTTCAATTTGTTCTAAACTGATACTGGTTAACCCTGGTGGGGATCTTTGAAGTGGCCTTCTTGACTGAGAAAACGAGTATTCAAATCCTGTGCTCCTATGGGGTGGTCTAAATAATTCTACTGGTGTCGTTGCTGCTGCGTTCTTTGGCCTCAAATTGTATTTGGGTTTGTCTGGCATCTATTCTTGCCACAATGGCGACGGTAAACCGGTCAAAATGTATTCTTCTATTGGCACTAGTTTTTAAATCTACGAGCCTTTTCTTCACCTTCGCGACGGTGTCGTGAATTTCGCTTGAGTGCTTTCGTCACGGTACCGTTTGTCGACGTACCGCGTCATGACGTGTTTGGGCGTTGGCTTTCTTCAAAGGCGCCTTACGACGTCGGTTTCGAGATGGCACCTCCACCAAATATGTCACAACTGTCCTCTTTACGGGGGTGACATAGGGGGTTTTTAGCTTTGGGGGTCGATGGAGAGAAACTCGCTGAAGTTATATAAAAAGGTAGATATATATTTTCAAAATATACCCCTACATATACACTAGTCCTATAAGACGCATGACCCTTCGAACACTGGGGCCCTTCTAGGGAGCTACACGTCAACGCTGCTTGGGGGACTGTCGATTTGTTATCGTCACCCTTATGCCTTGTCCAGAGGGGCTTTCCCAACGAGAGGTAATTGCACTGGACAACGATAAGGCTGAAAATACCCAGAGGGGCTTTCCCAACGAGAGGTACTTGCAGTGGGGAGACTTAATTCCAGAGGGGCTTTTCTAACGAGAGGTAGTTGCACTGGTTTAAGTCTGCCTTTGCTGCGGCTTGCAGCGCAATTTATATCCGTTTATTGCTGAATTGCAATAAACATCCGACCGAATCGGCAATTAAATTAATAAGGTTGAATACAGGGTCCTCCTTTCCTAAGCAGATAGTTGGCAGTATTGGAGTTTACTTAGGTGCTGTGAGTGACGCATTAGCCAATAGTTGCAGCGTTCTGGCACTGGAGTTGAAGCGATTCCTACATCAGACGGCTCGAACGAGACATTCATACTCCTTCCTCGTATCGACAATTTTATAGTTGGCCTTCCTTTCCCTATGGTCTGTGATCTGCCACAAGATGAGCGTTTGATATTCCTTAACTCAGAGCAGTCCAATTTGCCTAAGATTCAATCCCCACTCAATTAACGATAGCTGAAGAGGTCACTGACCACTCCGGATAGTTACCAAGACGAGTACCCTGACTTTTCCCGACAGATTAACGTCGATTCGACTCGTTCAAATGAAACTCTGAGCTATTCAAATCCATTGGCCGGATAGAGGCTGAAAATTTTTCACTTTTTCCTCATTCAAATCCAAACCAATACTTCGATATGTCTTTTGCAGTATTTCTGCATTCTATAAATGTTTGTGCCAGAAGTGCGATTCTTCCTGGTTAATTTCCTGATACACTAACGCTATTTTCAGTCATTCTCGCCACACTTCTGCTAAAAAGTGAAAAGTCTTGCACTTTTCGGTAGGTGTCTTTTTACCAGCATTATGAATAGTGATATCTGCTCGATTCCGCTTTAGTTCAATATACGGTCCTAGCTGATACAAGTTTGCCTACTACTTCAGCTTTAGGCATTCACCAAACTGAATTGTAAAACTTTTCGCGAACTCCAATTTGTAGGCAATAATTTCCGATAAGTGAGTCAAATATATATATGTCGAATTGGAGCCTTTGAAGGAAACAAACTTTTGTTTCTAAAGCCATTTCGATAAGTAGCATAAGTATCTCGTTATGGCCACTCGAACTTTTTGACGAAAGTTTTCAAACCTGTTCCAAGCGTAAAGTTTTTCTTTGGAAAGCCTTTGTAGGTAACTAATTTTTAAAGTGTGAATCTTTGTTGGTCATAGAAACTCAAGAAAAGGGTATAACGCAATTTCGAGTATACCTAACTGGATGTTGCTAGGGTAACGAGGTATAATCCTAATCTGAATATTTGGTTCTTAGTCATAACATTTAACTTTTTTATTTGTTTAATGTAATCATTTGTTTCCTTGTGAAAATATCATTGTATCCATTTATTATTTCTCTATACTCGTGTATCATTCTCATTCTTCTTTCTACGATTTTTTTTTGTCAATTATTATTCTAGTTCTATTTTGGCAATGTCTAATTGAGGCATCATCCTATTTTGTCTTCTTTACACATAATTACACAATCAATATTTTCCACTAGTCTTTAGAAGAAGCTACATGTTTAGTTTGGATTCTGTGCTGATATTTTATAATGACTTAATGGCTTACCTTTTAGCCCTTCTATCACCATATCTGTAGCTTTACCGTTATAAATTTTGATCTACTTGTTTTTATCTCTGTATATTCGCCTTAGATAATCTTCCTTTGGTGAGTTAAACTTAATAAACAGCGAAATTAAATTCCTCGAGAAAATCAATCAAAAGAATCCAAATAAAAATACCGAAGCACTACTCAACAACATTAAAGCAAAAACGACAGATTCATCGTCAAGATAAATATCGAGAGTATAAAGCCATCAATAACCTTTTTGGTCGGATTTTAAAGTCGGATCACATCATTTCGGGCGTCGACTCAGTGTATCGAGAGAAAAGGGTCTTTTAGCCCTGATTCTGCAAAAAAACTTAAACTCGTGCGGTTTTGTTAGATCCCGAGATTTTTGAGTCTGATTTGCTATAAATATTTGTTTTGGCACAAATTTTAATGTAGATACCTATATTTTTTTACAGGTCGAAGTTCATTGCTTCCTATTAACCGATGTGCTGTTAATCTGCAAACCTTCAACAAAAAAGGGTGTGGCTACCATGAAAGTGATTAGGCAACCATATTTGGTGGATAGACTGACTGTACATGAGCTAACACGTGAAACCCCCAGTTTGGCCATTATTTATAGAAACGAGTTTGATATGGCCATCGCAACGTTTATTTTGCAAAATAACGATGCTAAAAAAATGAAGGTAGGTACTAAGCATAATTCCGAGTGACTATTTAACTTTACTGCAAATTCTTTAGGGTTGGAAAGAAGGCATCTCCAAAGCCCAATTGCTCTACTCGCAAGCGAAACAACTTAGTTTCATGGCGGCAGACGAGAGTCTGGACTACGATTATGGTTTAGATCATTTAGAAAGTGAATATCATAGTCTTCAGTTAGCACCTAGGTCACCGATGGCTTCCTCTTCACGAGCTAGTAGAGTTTCTAGTTTAGCGCACAGTCACAGGTAATAATTTTGTATAGAGGACTTTTGGTACATTTGGAGTAATAACTTTAAAAATTATCAGGTATACAGGGTGATTTATGTAGCCGGTGCTTTCCAGCTTTCAGGTGGATTAGAAACTTCAGATTTGGTTTGCAACCAAATTTCAATAAAAACTTACAACTTTTCCAGTTCCAGCATAGTTCGATTGGCCTTGCAATTTTGAGTTTCGACAACCCTAGTTTCATCAATTTATCTTTTATAGTTTTTCACGTCTTTTTTTTTGAAAAAATTTGCCGTAAGTAAAGAAAAAGGATAATCATTTAGGCAGACAGGCCATAGCGTCTAGCACAAATGCCTCGTTTTCAAGTGATAGTTGCTAGCATACTAGCAACTATCACCTGAACAATCAACTTTTAAATAGCCCGATAGTAGATATCGCGCTGTAGCGTAAGTGGTCTCGCAATCTCATGATATATCGTTCTTTTATATTTATAATAATACTAGCTGTACCGGCGAACTTCGTACCGCCTATGAATTATTAAATACCTATTAAATGTTGTGTTAACGTATCTAGTAGATGAATTAAATTCAGTTTTTTTCAATGGTGAATTTGGCCTTGGTTGAAGAAAACTAATGTTTACTCTCTGGATCAGAAATCACCTAAAATTAACATTTTACATCATTTGGCTATTGATTTCAAATAGGGTGCTTCGCTTGGATCATAATCGCTTGGATCATAAGCCGAAAATGCTATAAGATAATACTGTTACGTCGGTTAAATGGAATAAACAAAAATAAGTTGAGTTATGGAGTGGTGAGAAGCAAGAAAAAATTAAAAAATTTTGGGGTGGACCACCCTTATCACTTAGGGGTATAAAAAATAGCTTAAAACCTATTCTCAGACCTACCGAATATACATATGAAATTTCATAAAAATCGGTAAAGCCATTTCGGAGGACGAAGGTAACTAAAACTGTGACATGAGAATTTTATATATTAGATTTATTTGAAATCGAAATATCCAAAATTATTTTTATAAAAATGAGCAAGCGAATTTTATTTTCGATTCAGAAACTTGTATTTTAAAAAACATTTATTTCAATAATTAAAATACAAGTTTCTAAATCGAAAATATAATTGGCGCAGTCGGTAAGATGTTCTTCCATCATCAAAGTATACGCTTGGGTGACTCCAACGAGAGTAAGGAATATTAAGGGATTCATCTCGGAGTACCTGAAATAAATTATTGTCGTTTAACATTTTGTTTAGCGAAGCGATTATGTGTTTTGCTATCATAACGCGGACTTATCTTGTCTCTATTAAATTGTTTTACGAAGGACGAAGCTTGGATCTTGTAATTTTGGTTCAGGTTCACGATTTTTATTGCGTGATTCTAAAGACTTTGCATGTTTCTTTAACAATTTTTCTTGAATTTCTTTATACAAATTTGCAAGGGATTCTGCCAAACAATATTAAGTTGTTAGTTTATTTTCTGTTTGTTCAATTGGTATGGCATAATTCAAATTTCCTTTATTCTATCGCGAATGGTAAACTATCATTTAATCGACTCAAAACAATTTTTTCCTACGAGCGTGCGCAAAGTAGTACTTTTCCGCACGCATTTCCGGGCTCAAAGTTACACTTTTCCGCACTCAGTGCGGATACAGGCCTTATCCGCACTGAGTGCCGAAAAGTAATTATAATTGTCAAGCAACAATAAGTGCACCTGTCGACTTTGACACATGATGACAAATTTTTCCTCTGTTTCTATATCAGCCTACATCTATACAAACACTAAATATGAATTAACTTTGACACATTGTCAGATTTGTTCTCTATTTACATGCAAAAATCTACAAACTTTCTCATCAAATTTAAACGCTTTAAGATGAACAGCTCTGACGAGGATTTTCTGTTATTTTTTTTTTGTTATTAATTTTTTGATAAATGCATAGGTTCCTTTTAAGTTAATTAAAAATAATTAAACAAATTATCGTTTTTTTTTTAAAATTTTTGTTATTACCTACCTGATATGAAGCTCGTAGGAAAAATTTTGTTCCTAACACGTGCGCAAAGTGTCTTTTCCGCACGCAAACACGTATCCGAACTCCGCTTCGCGTCGTTCGTATAACTGTGCTTGCGTGCGGAAAAGTAACACTTTGCGCACTTGTTAGGAAAATAACTATTACCCACTCATTTGTCAATTTTACCCACTCATACGTCAATTTTACCCACTCATACGTCAATTTTACCCACTTGTTCAAATCTTTTATAATAATTATAGTGTTTTTGACAGAAATCAGGGTTATGATGCATCATTGACAACACCAGAAATGTGTTAGTTTGTTACTTTGTCACCTTGTCATAATCTATATAAAATCTTAGCACCTTTTAGTCTATGATTCTAGTAATTTTGATAAATAAGTTGCTCAAGAATAAAATAGAATATTACACACGACGGTAAAAAAGCTTTATCTGCTCGTGAAATTAATCAAATCTTTTATAATAGTTTTTGACAGAAATCTGATATGTTGCATGATTGACAACACCAGAAATGTGTCAGTTTGTTAGGTACTTTGTCAATGTTTAATAATCTATGTAAAATTTTAGCACATTTTAGTTTATGATTTTAGTAATTGTGATGAATAAAAAGTGGCTCAAGAATAAAATAGAATATTACACACGATGGTAAAAAAGCTTTACCTGTTCGTGAAATTAATCCACTCGCTCCTTCGTCGCTCGTGAATCAACATTTTCCACTCACAGGTAAAGCATCTTTTTACCGTCTTGTATAATAATAGTTATTTATTCTATCGCGAATGGTAAACTATCATTTAATCGACTCAAAACTCGCTGTTAAAGTAATACTTTATTTGGAGTAGTGAAATCGAACAGTTTTTACCCACTCATTTGTCTATTTTACCCACTCATACGTCAATTTTACCCACTCATACGTCAATTTTACCCACTTGTTCAAATCTTTTATAATAATTTTTGACAGAAATCTGATATGTTGCATGATTGACAACACCAGAAATGTGTCAGTTTGTTAGGTACTTTGTCAATGTTTAATAATCTATGTAAAATTTTAGCACATTTTAGTTTATGATTTTAGTAATTGTGATGAATAAAAAGTGGCTCAAGAATAAAATAGAATATTACACACGATGGTAAAAAAGCTTTACCTGTTCGTGAAATTAATCCACTCGCTCCTTCGTCGCTCGTGAATCAACATTTTCCACTCACAGGTAAAGCATCTTTTTACCGTCTTGTATAATAAATTGCTATTAATCACTCGAAAAGGGGTGTGATTCATTGTACTATGAGTACTGTTGTTATAATTCAATATAGCGATTGTCATTAGATCAATAATACTTTTATTCGGATTTTGGAGTTTCAAACTCGTTATACTTCCACGTAGTGTCGAATGGAATCTTCCGATTGGACTATTCGAATTTGAATTTCTTAGAGTTGTGTAATGAAACTCAATTTTGAATAATGTAGAGATCTGTCATTATAGCGTTTTTGAACTCTGCTCCATTATCTGATATGATTTTTTGAGTTATTCCAAGATCATTGAATTATTTCAATAATGGTCAGAAATTTCTGGTTATTGATCATACAGTGAGCACGTAAAGGTTGGAATAGAAGCTATAAAATATAAAGAGTGGATATTTTTCAAAAAACCTCGGACACGGCAATTTTTGATTTTAGTGGCCGTTTTTCTAATACCATGTATACAGGGTGACTCAAAAACAAGTTATGACAGCTTACTTTATTTTTTTAAATGAAAACACCAATTTTTTATCTCATTTTCAAATTCTACGTTAAATTCTGAACCTATTTCATGTATCACGTCCTATACCCATCTTCAACTGTTTCGGAAATATTGACAGTTGAAAATTGACTTTTTTGCAACTTTGACAGGCTGTAGAACCTAAACCGTTAATTTTAGAGCAAAACCGATCATACATTCTTTGCTTAGTTTTCCATAAACTATCATTTAACACCAACTTTGGATTTAATCGGAGATTAAATTTAGCCGGAATTTTTAACCATGGATTAATTTCAAAGTTGGTATCAAATGATAGTTTATAAAAATCAAAGATAGGAATGTAAAATCGATTTTACCCTAAAATTAACCGTTCAGGTTGTACAGCCTGTCAAAGTTGTAGTGATTCCTACGAGACCAACGAGACGAGACTTTCATAAGGTCTTGTCTCGTCTCGCCGATGAAAAAGAAGTCTTGTCTCGATTCTTGTCTCGCAGCCTTAAGTCTCGTCTCGTCTCGCGTTTCGTACGAGAGTCTCGCAATAGTATATCGAAACCTCTTCATGCACTCGTGTTCCAGTTTAGAGTCTAGTACAGGATAATACCTATTTGCTATAATGTAAAATTAGAAAAAATAAATTACAACTGTTGAAAAATAACAAAAAACAAAATTTAAGTTTCTATCCTTTTTTGCCAATGCTCAATCGCATAAAAACTCGTACCGTACGCATCGGAACATTTTGCCGCCTAATCTAGCCATATCCCGGAAATCTGACCAATCAAATTCGATGTGGCTATTTTGAGCGGCATAATGTTACTACATGGGCTAGATCAGAGGTCAGAATGTCGGGACGGTCTGTTGGACTTGTCTGTTAGAAGTGCCGCATGTCTTGTTCATTTCCTGCTCATTGCTCTATTGAAATTTATGCGAAGACATTTTAATATTCATTCATGATGGAGATGAATGCGATAAAACTACCCACAATGTTTGTTTATTCTAATGTGAGTGAAAACACTTATCGTGCAAAAGGAAAAGTAGTACCTACATTAATGGCCGTTTGCACCGACAATTTTAAGGAGGGCTTAACGATAAGTAGGTATTCCTTAAAGTGACATTTTCCCATGTAAAAATGTCATTTTAAGGTAGACTGATCGAATTCCTGCGTTTCAATCAAAAAACTAACAATTTGAATCAATACATTGGTTCCTTCATGAAAAAAATCCATATGGAACATAAATAAAATCTAAAT